TCATCGTAAAGGGTGGCGTTGATACCCCGGAGGTGAACTGTGACTGGGCCGGAATTGATGTTGTGATTGGTGTCTGCGACTTGATAAAAAGTGTTGTCGTGGAGGTGAAGACGGACACTACAGTGTCGGTTGCTGTACGAGTTGGCATTACTTTGGTAATTACGGCATTGCTCGTTTTGAGTAGCTCGGTAATACATCCAACTTGTGCTTCCCTATCAAGCTGCATGGAAGGGTCAGATGTGCCGTTGGTTATGTTGGCCTGATAGCAATACGGAGAGAATCCAGCGCATTGCCTACTACAGTTAGTCAACCTAGTCTCCATAAACGTCCGTGCCATTGTATATTTACCAAAGGATGTCTGCTTCACCATTGGGAACCTCTGCAGGGGTGGTAAAAGTAGCAATCATTTGACCGTCACATTGTGTGGTGGAGAAGTTGAAGCGCAGAGGGAGGAAAGAGGAATCGCCGAAATTCATGGTGGCGTGACATCTCGTGGACTGGGGAGCGTTGATGCTATGCAGAATGGTTAGCGAGTGTCGGCGACGCCCGGTGCCACTAAGAGACTTACACGGCAGACAAGACTGACTGTCCAGCCTCAAGGGAGATGATTGGGGAGGTTAGGCACATGCCATGGATTGCAGTGGCCGGCCATAGCAGGCACGCCAGAATCGAAAAGACGTCGTTGCGATACATTTCTTGGCCGTTAATTATTTCTAGTGATGCTGTTGGCTCGGAAGCAAGAGCAGTCAATCGGGCCATTTTGTACCCAAGAGACGTACCTATTTTTAAGTCCGTTTATATTTAATTGTATCCTGGTGTGATCTCTAGGATTGCCTAACTTTAACGGGCGCCTACCAGGAAATCTGTGCAATGTGTGTTTATTTAATTGCGGCCTTGCTCGGAGATGGCGCAAACGTCAGTCAACTCCTGTTTGTCCAACTCCTCTCATGCAACAGCATCATGTCTTACTTCACCTTCAATATGTCAGCGAGCACACAAGGGCCATCAACGCCCAAAAATCCACAGCGTAGCAGCTTATCCAATTCTGCTGTTCCACAGTTGGATCACGACTCGTCTACTCTCCCCATAAACTCATCAGCAACAATGCTCTGCGAGCCAACCGTTTCTGGGCAAACTGCACTTAATCCAGAGGCACAATGGTCTGGATTTAATAGTAGTTTGCTTCAAGTTGATGGGGCATTCAGTGGGAGTGCCTTGCCATCCTACGATCAATCTACATTACATGCCGCACTTACCACCAACGACGATTTGAGATGGTACGTCCTTTCTAACGACATTGAGGATGGCGAACTCGCATGCTGACGTAGTCACTACCCAGGATGTTGATTGGGATGAACGAACGTATGGCCAACTTGGAGCAGACCGCAGCTGCTGGAAATAGAACCATGGATCAAATGGGTAACCATATTTCCGACATGCTTAGTCGCCTGGCAGTCATTGAAGGTATGATCAAGGTAGTTGAGGACCTGAAGCAAAATCTTCGAGACTTTACCAGGGGATTGGTGCCACACATTCTTGGCGTAAATCTCGAGGAAGATCTTGAGAAACAGGGCTAATGCGCAACCAACGGCCACACGGGTGGGGGTTGAGCGGGGCAAGTGACAGAGGCTGCATGAACGTTGGAAGGTAATCCGTGTACGATTTTAGTTTTGTGTGAGAAATTGATTTAAGCCGTCATACTACTTCAATGTCCATCTTCCCTGCATACGTGGCCATCCAAGTGCAAACGAATCGCCGCCGATTCACCATGGCTAACTACACGTCCAAAAAGCTCCCACCCCTGCTCGAGCAAGGCGACTTGAGCGAAAGAGGCATACACCACCCATTGCGACTCGTCGTCTGGTCTTACCTGGCCAATTTGCCAAGAGCCAAGACACTGCCAATGCACTGAGACGACAAGTATCTCAGCTTCAGAAACATCAGCTTCAGAAACAAAACGCCGGCCTGTGTAGATCTCTTCATGAGGCAGACAGCCAGAATACCGCGCTACGACAACAACTTTCTGCCTATAGGCAATACATAAAAAAGCAGGATGATGGGCTAGCCCACGTTATCAAACACCATTTGCTCTGCGTTCCAGGGTTATCGAGAGACTGTGGTGGAGGCCACCTGGGACGCAACTGCGGCGGAAGACGCCGTGCAAAGCGAGATGAGAGGCGCAGGGGGTCGGTCTCCTCCGCAATTTTAGCCAGTCTAGGGATGATTATTTCCCCAGTTTAAAATAAATACACGACGTTTTCCTTGTCCTATTGATCCCGGACACGCGCAAGCGCCCAGGTGCCGAATGCGACTGGACGTGCACGCCCGAGAAACCAGCACTGCCCATATCCCCAACCCGCCGCCTACACCCCAAAAATCTCGAGTGAAGGATGCAACCTTGGCGCAAGAGAACCGGCCGACATCACGGCGGTAAGCCGAAAAAAGAGTGGAGACGGCCCGGGGCCTTGCAAGCCGGTAGATCGAGAAGGCGGACGAGCGTGGGACGATCAGATCAGGTCCTAAATTTCGTCCCGCACTTGATGAAGGCCAAAATGACAGATTTAAAGTAAAGATACTCCGTAGACCTTGAAGATCGTTAGCCGCCGAAGTTCGTTGAGTCGTGATATATATATATCAGTGCAAAGAATCATAATCAACAGAAACTACCATAAACGACAATATGGCACCAATTACCTGCAAAGTTGTCGACGCCAACAACCGTGGACGGCCTGGAGTCTATGTGGTTCTGGAGTGCAAAGACCAACTGCACCGCGGCATCGCAACGCTGGGATCACTGACTGATGAAGATGGCGGAATCAGTCTGTGGTTCCCAACACCATCACCCGGGCGAACAGACGATGTGGAGCCACAGATCGTTGACAGCAGCAATATTCCTAGAGTCTCTTTGACTTTCTTCCCTCATACCGTGCCGTCAACATGCCCAGGCCCGTTCTTGTCTATCCACACGGACTTGTACCTCCAGGGGGATGAGTGCCACGGAATTACCCTGTACCTTGACCCTCATCCACGACTAGTGCACTCCCCTGTCCCGGTAGCCAGCCCGCTCAACAAGTTCGCTGCCGCAGCTGTGAGCACGCAAGAGCCGCAGCAAGACCTGTCAACCCCTTCCCCGTTGCTGCTGCCTCCACCAGTCAGCCAGAACAGCCGACCATCACCGATGCTTCTGAATGGTATGCACTGTCACAATGGGAGTCGGGGTCAGAAACGGAAGGCGGAAGACTATCCGCAATCACCAAACAAGAGGCGCTAATTCGGGTGGCGCAGGTGGGACAGGGGGATTCGTGAAGAGAACTTCGCCTTCTTATTGGAGGTATTACGAAAGCAAATTGTCGATTCTGCAATAGTTCAACACTAGGGCACGGGATGTATATAGCACTTGAGTAATAAAAACTGGGCCTTCAAGAGATGTGCACATGTTATATGGCCTGATTTTGTGAAGGAAGCCTGTTGGCCAAATGAAGACGACGGCTGGCGTGGGTGTGACTATCGCTTTTAGTTGGTTACCGACGGTACGGTCCGCACTATGCGGGCCCCAATGACAGACAATGAGGCCTACGCTAGTAAGCCTCACAATGGCAGACGCCAACCCTACCGTTCATGCTTCAGGTGCTTCAGGATGTGGAGTTGGCTCCCCCACGTCTTTCCTCCATGGCCAGATGCACGTCCCACCTTCCGCCCAACCTGTGCGATTTACCCTGGCTGGCAGGCTGCACGGGCCGTCACAATCACAAAATGGTGACATTGACTACTAAGCGAAGGGCAGCCTAAATATTGTCCGTATAGCTCGGTGTTCGGCATTTTTCATCTATTCCGAGAAGATCCAGTGACTTGTAGGTTGAACCTCTCTAAGAATCATTATCTGAACATGTACATTGAAGTTATCCCAAACTGTTTTGCGGTTGATCAAGAGTCGGCAGACTTGGTCGTTCAGCTCAACCTTTAGTCTCTTAAAGTCACTCTCATCAAAAGCAACCCCCCTAATACAAAAATCAGGTCCAGTGAATGAAATTCTTACACCAGATGCGTCACCCGCTCCAGGTAGTTCGCTCATGAGCTCTGAGAGCGACGTGACTTTAAACTTGTGTGGAGGCTCCCACGTTTTATAGCTCATGTACCCATTGAAGTCTTCTCCTAGGCTATATTTGAACTGGAAACTGCCAATGTGGCAGGTATTTGTCATATAGTCAGTAATGATATCTTGTTGGATTATGCTATTAGCATTGTAGTTTGTCAAGAGTCTTTCGAGACTGAAGCCGTCTCTAACATCGCGACTTCGGCAAGAAGGCGTCCACCTCCAGCGCCGAATTTCCTCAGCAAAGCGAAAAAAAAGATACCCAACAAGTGCCTGGATTCTACTTGACATGTTAACTAAAGTCGTAATTAATGGGACACAATAAAGAGCGTACTTTTGGAGATCGGCAGCATACACAAGGCCAGCGTCTTCAGTTCCTGGCCAATAAATATCGCCGCGTCCGAGTAGGTTTAAAAAATGCCGTGCAAGGCCATGATAAACCTCAAGCGTAGCATCGTAAGATGGACAATAAGTGAATTTCATAGGATTTGTGGCATTCAAAAAGACCAGTATGTCATGGACGAAGATCGTTGTCTGGGGGTGACCGAGGTCACCATACCCGAGCTGAGCAAGGAGCTGGCGAAAAGTGGGCAACGCAACGGGCATTGTGAGGAGTGAAAGTTAATTTTAAGATGCGCCGCTTGAAACACAAGCAAAGGGCTGCGGCGCTTTTTATGCAGCTCGGATTGGGGTATACGCACGACATGGTGGCAATGACAACCGAGAAAAACTGTGGTGGGCTGAAAGCGCCTAGATCTGCCAGTTGCCAACACTTGTCCAACACAATGTGGAAAGGTTGCCTAGATTGTCGCAAGCTCTCTTCGATTAAATAGAGTTACTATATAAAGAGGCACAATGTCCCATCGTACAATGGCAACATAGATGCCACCCAGGATACATTGCAATCATGACTCTCGTCAAGCTTTCAGTTGCCTTTGCGTGCGCTTATGCCGTCACCAAACTGTAGGGTAACCAGTAAGTCTGTCGTCAATATTACATTTACTAAAGCCACAAAATGGACTAGACCGGATTGAATCATCTCGCAACCGTCGGTCTTCACGCCAAAGTGACGACTTTCGAACCAAGAGTCGCCGGGGAAGGCGGGGGCGGACTCGCAGAAGATCACACCCTAAGCCTAGGTCTCGGTCGCCGTATGGCTACTGCAGGGCATCTTGTCGTCTAGCTAGTCTATTTACTAGATACACATAAGACCATTCTCAGCTAGTGTTATAGAAAAAATAATGACATATCAATTTGCCTGCATCTGCGCAAACCCCAACATCCTTGTAACCGGCCGCCGACTCGCGGCTCATTGGTGAAGCCAGCTGCCAGTCACCAACGCGTTTGAGAAAATCGGTGCTGACAGTAACGCTGGCCACATCTTCTAGTACCAGGTCCTCATTGCGTATCGTTTACCAGCACCCGATGGCTTCTTATTCAGGCATCAACAGCTGCATGAGCTTTATCAAAGACTTTTACGCCAGCCATGTGCAGTGCTTCATCAGTGGATGGTGCGCGGGCCACATGTACTACACCCAGTCTAAGGACAAACACTCATCTATGTGGAGACCATGGCCGGGCCAGAAATACAAGAACGCTCACCTTGATGTGAAGAAATACAGACATCAAGGGTTTACTTTCCATCGGGCCAAACGCGGAGGGCCGGTTACGCGATCACTCAGAGACTCCCAGTCCTTCCTGCTTGATTACGGGGCCCTGTATCGGTCCTTCATTCGGCCATCGCACCACGCACTGCTTGACGCCTGGCTGGCAGAAAGACGAGATAATATTGATGGAATAACCTGGACAGAATTTGACGGTCGCATTTTCTCAGTACATGATACATTCGAGTCTTGTTATCGACAGTCCAGAATGACATTCGCCTCTCATAGCGTAGATCTTCCGCTAAACAGGCTCCGGCGCCTTAGCAACCTCGTTGCGTTGAACTTGACGGAGCCGGATGCGCTGAGAGCCGAGTCGTTCCGGAGCTCGATTGGTCCGCCTGCAGTTGGTCAGAAATGGCAACTTGGCGCTCTGGCTCGAACTGGAAAGGTGTTTAACAACCTTCGCGACGCCACACCCTGGTCCTGGGCCTTGTAAGCTATAATCTTCTGTACCAACCCCACACATCTAGAACACTGCCAAATTCTTTTCCACCTTCCCTCAAGATGTCTTTCGCAGAAAAATCCACAGCCCTTCAAAACGTCATGAAAAATCTCGACATAGGAGATGCCTGTGTCTTGAGAAAAGCCTTTACCTACAGCTCAATACTCAAACAGTGCTACGAGTCGCGAGCTGATCCCGTTGGGTATTTGTCGCGAACGTTCCGGTACCCATTGACATTATTGTCCGCCATGTTTGATTCGGGCTGTGTTATCACTGGTCCGCGCGCTTTAGGGTTCTTTCTCCCGTCGTCAACAAGTGAAGACTCCGTATGGACTTTCTTCGTTCCCGGGTACAAGGAATCAGTTTTAGACATGGTTAATGTGTTGGAAATTTGCGGGGTCTCGTGGCAGCTTGATGCAGCTGAAGTGGCAAGGTCGCTTCTCCCACTTGGAACGGCCTCCATCTCAAGTGCGGATCTCGAGTGTCTCAACTCACGGGCAGAATCCCTTGATCCAGCTGTAGCGCAAAATTTACTCGGAACAGAGCTCTACGGCAGATTAAAGACATACAAGGAGATGAACTGCGGCAACAGGCAAAACTTAGGGGATAAGCCCCCGAAAGCGTAGCGCCCCATTACACCTAGGATTACCGTGCATGTCCGCTGTTCCACCCGTAACGGTCAACCGGCGTCGAGTTGCGCCCACGCTCACCGCCAGGACGAGATCAAATCGCCTCTCCATGCAATTCCTAATTTCTTAGAGAGAATTTGTATCTTATTACGAAATTGCAATTTTACTAATCTAAGCAGGGGTTTCTCACAGCCATTGCGAGACCGAAATATTAGCAATTTTCCAATGCCGGAAGCCTGCAGGTGTGCTAAGCGCTCAAAAACTAACTGCTCAATGCTGTTTGCCGAATTATGAGGAATAAGAAATGTGGTCGGTTGAAGACAGCCGCTGTGACTAAAGATAGTGGTGCTCTCGCGCCCTCAGCTAGCGCTTTGAGATGGCCCAGCCCAGTATGACCAGAACTAGATTTAGTACCAGACTGTTGAGCAAGAGAGGCATCAAGGCATTCAGCTGCGAAACACGTACAAACTGGACATCAAGTCAAATGCTAAACATGCTCTTTTTATTAGACATATCAGAGCACGTAACTATTTAAAGGTGCTAAGGCTCAAGTGAGAAGGCTATTTTTTTTCAGCACCTCGACCATCTATCTTCTGTACCAACCCCACACATCTAGAACACTGCCAAATTCTTTTCCACCTTCCCTCAAGATGTCTTTCGCAGAAAAATCCACAGCCCTTCAAAACGTCATGAAAAATCTCGATATAGGAGATGCCTGTGTCTTGAGAAAAGCCTTTACCTACAGCTCAATACTCAAACAGTGCTACGAGTCGCGAGCTGATCCCGTTGGGTATTTATCGCGAACGTTCCGGTACCCATTGACATTATTGTCCGCCATGTTTGATTCGGGCTGTGTTATCACCGGTCCGCGCGCTTTGGGGTTCTTTCTCCCGTCGTCAACAAGTGAAGACTCCGTATGGACTTTCTTCGTTCCCGGGTACAAGGAATCAGTTTTAGACATGGTTAATGTGTTGGAAATTTGCGGGGTCTCGTGGCAGCTTGATGCAGCTGAAGTGGCAAGGTCGCTTCTCCCACTTGGAACGGCCTCCATCTCAAGTGCGGATCTCGAGTGTCTCAACTCACGGGCAGAATCCCTTGATCCAGCTGTAGCGCAAAATTTACTCGGAACAGAGCTCTACGGCAGATTAAAGACATACAAGGAGATGAACTGCGGCAACAGGCTCAAATCGGACGCCTGCCATTTATCTGAGCTGGAAAAGCCGACCTTGGGCATTGCTTCAGAAGAGTCAGCTTTTCCGCCTAGTCAGGACACAAGCAGCGCGAGAGAAGCACTCAATGTTCTTCAAGGATACATACAAACCAGCTCAGGGTCTCAGGTCATCGAACTAATTATTGGCTCTTCTTATTCAGGCATCAACAGCTGCATGAGCTTTATCAAAGACTTTTACGCCAGCCATGTGCAGTGCTTCATCAGTGGATGGTGCGCGGGCCACATGTACTACACCCAGTCTAAGGACAAACACTCATCTATGTGGAGACCATGGCCGGGCCAGAAATACAAGAACGCTCACCTTGATGTGAAGAAATACAGACATCAAGGGTTTACTTTCCATCGGGCCAAACGCGGAGGGCCGGTTACGCGATCACTCAGAGACTCCCAGTCCTTCCTGCTTGACTATGGGGCCCTGTATCGGTCCTTCATTCGGCCATCGCACCACGCACTGCTGGACGCCTGGCTAGCAGAAAGACGAGATAATATTGATGGAATAACCTGGACAGAATTTGACGGTCGCATTTTCTCAGTACATGATACATTCGAGTCTTGTTATCGACAGTCCAGAATGACATTCGCCTCTCATAGCGTAGATCTTCCGCTAAACAGGCTCCGGCGCCTTAGCAACCTCGTTGCGTTGAACTTGACGGAGCCGGATGCGCTGAGAGCCGAGTCGTTCCGGAGCTCGATTGGTCCGCCTGCAGTTGGTCAGAAATGGCAACTTGGCGCTCTGGCTCGAACTGGAAAGGTGTTTAACAACCTTCGCGACGCCACACCCTGGTCCTGGGCCTTGTAAGCTATAGAATGATTAATAGATTGCCACTTGAGTTTGTAATGCATTTGCATGCGTCGTTATTAATGTGATGTGATCGAAGCACTCGAGTTGGGGAGTCCTTCAGCCAGCCGCTGGGTGCATAAACGAGGAGCAAGTACCTAGGTAGGTAACAGCTAGGCAACTCTATCACAGTTTGTCTCCACTTTAAAATCAAGCACCCCAGCAGCAAAGTTTCCCAACAGCACTTGCCGTGCCGTGTTACCCCCCAACCCATGTTCACCAGAGTAACCTATTTGGAAAAATTTCACCCTTGTCTCCACCCTTTCGTGGATTATGGGCGCCTAGCTTCATGCCGTCCGTAGGAATCACAATACTGGGCGGGTGTTGTATCGGCGAAAATAGCGGGGTTTCGGGGTTCATCACAAAAAAAAAAGCCGGGGCATCACCTTCTCTTTGCCCCGATATGGGGCCGTCCGGAAACTGAAGCCGACGGAGCCCATCGGCCGATCAAAGATAACGCCGGTTCCATAAATATAAATACAGTATGTAATGCCTTGTGAATAGGGAAGCCATACAATGCAAAGTCACACCTCACCTCATTCTACGATGGATCATTCAGAAGCTCAGAGTCATGGTGTCAAAGCACCACTCACATCCCTACAAGAGCGCAATGCGCTGGGCTCAGAGATCATGCATTTACGCTCCATAACGCACTATGAAATAAGGCTGTTTAATTTGACAAGAGAGAATTGCAGATTGCAGACTGAAATTCAGCATTTGCATTACGTCAGGAGTCTCGAGAAACAAAATGCTGACAAGCAGATACAAAAGCTGTCTGCCGAACTTCTTGCTTTGAAGCACCTGGTGAGTGTCCATTCACTACGTGATTGCGGACGAGGGAGACGAAACTTACTGTTATACCTAGAAACCTCTGGGTACGCCTCGACGTATTGTCAAAGTGCGAAACCGACAAAATCTCCAGCACGGAGATTCGGCCGGGCTTGGGGAAACTGAATCAGATAATACGCTGAATGTAGATAGTACCTATTAGAGCGGTACCATCAGTTAGATAGTTTAAGAGCGCCCCAGAGGGTGTAACAACCAATCCAATTCAGTGCCCAAATGCAGTAATGTGATGTGACCTGCGCGATTTATGGCATAAGTGCGGATCTCGAGTGTCTCAACTCATGGGCTGAATCCCTTGAACCAGCTGCAGCGGAAAATTTGCTCGGAACAGCGCTCTACGGCAGATTCAAGGCATACAAGGAGATGAACTGCGGCAACAGGCTCAATTCGGACGCCTGCCAGTTATCTGATCTGGAAAAGCCGACCTTGGGCGTTGCTTCAGAAGAGTCAGCTTTTCCGCCTAGTCAGGACACAAGCAGCGCGAGAGAAGCACTCAATGTTCTTCAAGGATACATACAAACCAGCTCAGGGTCTCAGGGCGTCGAACTAATTATCGGCTGTTCTTATTCAGGCATCAACAGCTGCATGAGCTTTATCAAAGGCTTTTACGCCAGCCATGTCCAGTGCTTCATCAGTGGATGGTGCGCGGGCCACATGTACTACACCCAGTCTAAGGACAAACACTCATCTATGTGGAGACCATGGCCGGGCCAGAAATACAAGAACGCTCACCTTGATGTGAAGAAATACAGACATCAAGGGTTTACTTTCCATCGGGCCAAACGCGGAGGGCCGGTTACGCGATCACTCAGAGACTCCCAGTCCTTCCTGCTTGACTATGGGGCCCTGTATCGGTCCTTCATTCGGCCATCGCACCACGCACTGCTGGACGCCTGGCTAGCAGAAAGACGAGATAATATTGATGGAATAACCTGGACAGAATTTGACGGTCGCATTTTCTCAGTACATGATACATTCGAGTCTTGTTATCGACAGTCCAGAATGACATTCGCCTCTCATAGCGTAGATCTTCCGCTAAACAGGCTCCGGCGCCTTAGCAACCTCGTTGCGTTGAACTTGACGGAGCCGGATGCGCTGAGAGCCGAGTCGTTCCGGAGCTCGATTGGTCCGCCTGCAGTTGGTCAGAAATGGCAACTTGGCGCTCTGGCTCGAACTGGAAAGGTGTTTAACAACCTTCGCGACGCCACACCCTGGTCCTGGGCCTTGTAAGCTATAGAATGATTAATAGATTGCCACTTGAGTTTGTAATGCATTTGCATGCGTCGTTATTAATGTGATGTGATCGAAGCACTCGAGTTGGGGAGTCCTTCAGCCAGCCGCTGGGTGCATAAACGAGGAGCAAGTACCTAGGTAGGTAACAGCTAGGCAACTCTATCACAGTTTGTCTCCACTTTAAAATCAAGCACCCCAGCAGCAAAGTTTCCCAACAGCACTTGCCGTGCCGTGTTACCCCCCAACCCATGTTCACCAGAGTAACCTATTTGGAAAAATTTCACCCTTGTCTCCACCCTTTCGTGGATTATGGGCGCCTAGCTTCATGCCGTCCGTAGGAATCACAATACTGGGCGGGTGTTGTATCGGCGAAAATAGCGGGGTTTCGGGGTTCATCACAAAAAAAAAAGCCGGGGCATCACCTTCTCTTTGCCCCGATATGGGGCCGTCCGGAAACTGAAGCCGACGGAGCCCATCGGCCGATCAAAGATAACGCCGGTTCCATAAATATAAATACAGTATGTAATGCCTTGTGAATAGGGAAGCCATACAATGCAAAGTCACACCTCACCTCATTCTACGATGGATCATTCAGAAGCTCAGAGTCATGGTGTCAAAGCACCACTCACATCCCTACAAGAGCGCAATGCGCTGGGCTCAGAGATCATGCATTTACGCTCCATAACGCACTATGAAATAAGGCTGTTTAATTTGACAAGAGAGAATTGCAGATTGCAGACTGAAATTCAGCATTTGCATTACGTCAGGAGTCTCGAGAAACAAAATGCTGACAAGCAGATACAAAAGCTGTCTGCCGAACTTCTTGCTTTGAAGCACCTGGTGAGTGTCCATTGACTACGTGATTGCGTACGAGGGAGACGAAACTTACCGTTATACCTAGAAACCTCTGGGTACGCCTCGACGTATTGTCAAAGTGCGAAACCGTCAAAATCTCCAGCACGGAGATTCGGCCGGGCTTGGGGAAACTGAATCAGATAATACGCTGAATGTAGATAGTACCTATTAGAGCGGTACCATCAGTTAGACAGTTTAAGAGCGCCCCAGAGGGTGTAACAACCAATCCAATTCAGTGCCCAAATGCAGTAATGCGATGTGACCTGCGCGATTTATGGCATAAACATGCCTTGCTGCTCTGAAAGAGGATACGGTCATATGCACCTAGGCGCCAATAAAGTCCCGGGCGGTATCTGGGGAGACTAAAACCACGTTGGAGGAGCCACACAGGATAAACCGAGGATGAATGAGGAAAGCCGGCGTTTATGACCTGGGCTTATATAAGTCCCGGCTTCCTCTTCTACACCTCAGACAACTTCCTGTCTTCCCAAGTTCCTCTTGCCACTTAAGACATATTCATCAAATCAAAGAAACGTTAGCATTCAGTTCTGCCTAGACGCCATCATGAAAAAGCAGCCGGCCTCTCGTAAGCGTCAGGCTGCTGTCCCCCTCACATAGCTTGTACTGATCTTCATACATAGTCAACGAAGTGTCCAGAGTGGACCTTGACCGAAGATTCGATCTCGCTCATGTTATCGATGCGCTTACTTGGGGGGTCTCTGCCGGTGTCTCTATTTACTACACGGTCCGCGCACCCCGAGATGGTCCCACCATCGGGGCGCGCATTTGGGACCAGAATTTTCAGTATGAGACAGGCCTGACCATTGATCCAAACATGGTCATTGCCTACTGGTTAGTATCGAGCATCAAACAGACTGATCCGCAGCTAAATCACCTATTAGGGTAGGAATGCATGTTGCGCTCTTTGTGCACATGCTGGCCAATATTTTCGCGGCCTCTAACGACATCAGCTACATCACAATCAGCAATCACTTCAGCATCAACAATTTACTTCACGTTGTTTTTCTGGTCTTGTTTGTACGCTCTGCCTTTGACTGGGCCGAGTGTATCTTGATTCTCAATTTCGTCAACCTCTCTGTGCTTTACTTTAAGCATAGCAAGCTTTCACACTTCACTCGCATTTCAGTTATCTGCGGCCCTCTTGCCTGGAATTTTATTGCCATCTTTTGGAACTGGGCAATTGCCGTAACAGCCGGAATCGGCTACAACGATACTGTCGAGGGCTTTGGTCTCTTTTTCGTCTGGGCAATTCTCGGGTATGGAGTGTTTTCCCTCCTTGTCTTCCAAGTAAGTTGAACTCCCATAACTAGAGCATACTTCACAGTCCTGACTCTGCCTACAGGACCTTGCAATGGCTTTCTTGCTGGCGTACCTCTGCGCCAGTATCGCCTTCGCGCAGCGTTTTCTTCAACGCAGTGATCGAATGTGGATTCCGCCTGTCGTGATTGCAAGTCTTCTGGTGGTAATGATGTGTGCTGTCGCCGCTCGGTGCCTCTGGAATCTACGAGCGGTACGTCGGAAGAAAGTGAACGAGTCTGTGGACGCTGAATTCGATGAGCGTAAGGTATCATGCTAAGCTCTCATTGATGTATGGTTTACGCTACGGCCCACAGGTGGAATGGGTTTGACCTCGACGCAAGATTCTCATAATTCGAATCGGACTTTCTGATAGCATACTTAGCCGTCGAGGGTGATCTAAGTACAATGACACAACTAAGCTAATCGATATCCGAGCTGAGTTTAAATTTCCTAAGCAAGGAACCCTATTCAATTCAGCTATCTTAGAGAAACTAGTTGGACATTTGAGCATTGAGTTTTATTTTTGTCTTTTTAATGCTCTTCGTTCCTCGACCATTTTGCGCCAAACTATCTCTCTTCCTGGCAGAACATCCCATTCGAAGTAATACATTCTCTCAGTTCCTGGTAATCACATTGTAGTGTAAGGGAACGGCCCACATTAGGACTTACATAGCTCGAGTCAGAACTTCCTTGGGGAGCTCTTTCTTACTCTCCTTGTGAACAATCGCTTTATCCAAGTCGCACTTGACCTTGCTCGTGCCCTTGTACCGTCACATGTAGGTGGTTAGCTGATAACGCATTTATAGGTAGAGAGAAGGATTTACCTTTTGTGCCTATCGCTCCTTCTAGGAGTTCGAGCTGGTAGAGTCCGTGCCATATGTAGCACACTACCATGTTGCCCAGCAAAGATATGTCTGAATCGTCAGTCGCAAGCTTGACAGTTGCCACCACGACAAAGTTGTTATCACAATATTTGTCAACCTAATCCGCCTCTTATGTTTCGTAGCACGTGTGTAATTTTATTCTTCTATCTATCGTTCGTAGAATGTTCACGATATGTGAGTTCAATCAGTGGCTTGACAATACACTGAGTATAAAATCGTCGCCTATCCCCGCAGTTTGCATTTGCAAGACGGTGGCAAATTCCATGACCCAGTTCGCCTGACCCAGAATCTGAGATTTTTTTTTGCGTTTCCGACAATATCGCGGCAGAGTTCCGAGAAATTTGCTCAAAACTGGTCGATAGTTGTCGGATAATGCCTCTGTAGACTGAAGTCGCAGAGCTTGGCGTAATGGCTGGATGTCATAGCGTCGGCTATTTTGACTAAAACTAGCCGCAAGTTAAATTCGGACGAAAGGATGTTTTTTGGTATTAAGCAGAGGGCTGCAGACTCTATCTGCAGCACGACCACGAACAATAATAATTTTTGTAAAACAAGCTTAGTTAACAATGAGTCTCATAACGTGACAATAGTGGATTCACCATGCGTTGGGAACAGGCGAAGTTTGGCCCAGAATTACCGACCCACAGCAGCGATGCAAATTGGACCATGGAGTGCAATCTGTCACGTTATGAGACTCATGTTAACTAAGCTTCTTGATAAAATCATTCTTCTTGTTGATGCGAGTGCTGCAGACTCCGTCCGCAGCTCTCTTTTTAATACCAAAAAAACTTCCTTTCGTCCGAATTTAACTTTCGGCTAAGTTTAGTCATGATAGCCGACACTATGACAACCAGTCATTACACCAAGCTCTGCGACTTCAGTCTACAGAGGCATTATCCGACACAATCGGCCGTGGCCGGCCAACTTGAACATCGCAGTCAGCATCGTCTGGAAGTTAATCGTCCCCAAAATTGAAGGACGCAAGGCTGAGAGCAGGAAGATGTCGTTGCAGCAATATTAAGGAGCTACTGGATTGTGTCTGAGTCCGAGTCGTGCCTTGAGATCCAAGAAGTTGTATTCCAGCCAGTGCATGGTCAGCCGCCTTTCAATTTAGCGAATAGCCAGTTGTTGCTCGCCACTCTTTGTCAATTCCTTATATGAGCAAATTTGAGCCCTAGGCAAAGACCTAAAAGAAGCTAGTGGTGGATGTCATGCACTCTGGCTACAACATGTTCAAATTGTGTTACATCTTGTCGTTATGCCCCGGCATATCCATGGTCCAACCTGTCGGTTTGTGGTCGATTTTCCATCACCGTCTGGTGCGGCACTTTCTTCCTCCGAGCTCCACCCCCCGTTAATCCCTTCATGCTCTCTGATAGCTCGTTCGGCGACGGGAAACCCGTCCGCTTCGCGAAGACACTTAAACATGTTTCGCGTCATAGACTCTGAACAGTCCTTGTCACGGTCAAGGTTGTCATAGTGAATGGTAGTATGGCCAGCAACAGCATCATCTACCTTCGAGCTGGGTGTAAAAGAGCTTTCAATTGGGTCTTGGGCAATCTTAGTGTTGTTCCTGCAGTTCCATGTCATAAGTATGCCCCCTAACCACAGAAAATTCAAGTTGGGAGCCCGGCACATAAGCATTTGCGCCAGAATATGCGGCTCTTTGGCGACTTGTGTGTCAAGAATTGCAAAAGCGCCTTGAATCCAAGCACCACAGACATTGCACGGGATGTCCGGTTCAATAAACGTGCTGCACAAGAGCGAGATTATTCCTGTAGTATTGCAGCTAAGGGCGAGCAATCTATCCAACTGACAGCTGTTGCTCCCCCACGGCGGAAGGTACTGTTCCACGGAAGGTTTTGACCGTTGCATGCGGGGAAGATGCATACGGGGCCAGCGAACCTGCTTCGAAATGCGGTGGCGTGTTGGCAGCAGGAGTGCGGCAGCAAATGCCGCTCGACTTTGGTTCTGAAGTCCGTGGTAGATTGCGTAGTCAAGGACGTAAGCCATTGCAGTGGAGAAAGATGCCGAAGAATGCCATTCCAGACGCGAGGGTACGGCGTTATAACGTAGAGCCAACGTCTTGCAAGAGTCCAGTTTTACAGACCACGGCGACTTTAAGACCCTGCCGTTGTGAAAATTGCAAGCGCCCCAGCCTTCTTCGGGAGCAAGAATGGCCGCCCACCACCGCGCTGCTTCATATGTAATGTCGCCAAGGTCTACTATTAAATCGCTGTCGCCGTTGGGGGCGTTCTCACGGCTGTCGGGCGTAGCAACGCTTTCGGTATATGCCATAGTTGATGCGCCGGGGATGATCTCCGTCCATCGTGCGGATAGTACATAGGCCCAGGCGAGAGTGAGAACCAACATATGCTTGGATTCCTCATCGAAGAGATTCGGGCTGTCAATTGGGCAACTTGATTGAAGAGAAATGGCGGTTGGGCAGGCTATTGTAGCTCCAAAGGCAAGCCCTATCTGCAAGGAGGGTAGGTTGCAACTACCATTGCTGGTTTCCCAAGTAGATGTTCCCGTCGCATATAGGACGGTAGAGGAATTGCGATCGAGCTCTAGCTGTGGCGGAAAATAGGGATGCTGGGGAAACGCATTTTCAATGTCTAAGCTGGTTGCATCCAAAGGAGATGTGTTTGAGCTTGAGCAAAGGCTATGCCACAACCGGTAGCCTGCTTCATAATAAAACTTGTATGTTTCGTTGTCTGGTCGAAGGGCATCTGCCATACTCTAAGTAGTAGGTTGGCAACGATGACTTGAGGGTGCTCAAGGCCATCGAGTACTGTTAAAATGGTGGTGCTACTTTGGGGTAACCTGCGATCATGCTGAATGGAGGAATGGAGAGCTTTAAGTACACACGCTAGCTCGCTCGGCCTGATTTATCAGGCAGCAAACCTGTCAACCCAACTAATGGTGTCACCACCGCGTCGCTGCACAGACAATATCGCGCCAGCTGTCTCGATAATAAACGTCATCGGTCCCCATTCACCTTATATTGAACGAGAATTATCTGAAGAACAAATGAACGATGGAAATGAACGCGGTATTTATCTTATGAAGGAACCATGTCTGATACAATCCTAAGACTAGGAGGAGTCGTTGCTGATACCTACAATGCCGCGTCGCGGCATTGTAAGAAGCAACGACTTGCCCCATTTTGAGGTTCTGATATCTGACACTGCTTGATGGTTTTCACAACAGCCTACTAATCTTGTTATTGCATTACTAGCCGACAAATCTTGCTCGTGACCGGCAATACATCTGTTACCTCCCAGAAAACTGATAGACCAACTCAGTACTCTACACCGTATTGTACGATAACAAGATTGCCTTCATCATCCTTGGCGATAACAGGACAGCTACTATAGTCCACATCCTTGCTCTCCCGTCCGTGCTCAGGACACGGCCTGCAAACTACCCATCCAGTCCAATTCTCGTCAACAGTGCCATCCATATGGATGAGGGTGTGAACTGTGCTGCCACAAACTTTGATCTTTCTGCGGCATCGTCGTGCTGCACACGGTTCACTGCGATGAACTTCGTTGAAGTGCCCGCAGGTGCTGCAAGACCCTGATCTGCCAGAGCTAATCATCTTACATCCAGGCAGATATGATGCCTTGGTGAACCTAGGAAAAATTAGGATTGAGACTAGAACAATATTGTATATAGTATACATACAAATATCTGGGAGCCGAAGGAAGAGTGGAACTGAATAGCTCCTTATTGCGAGGTAGAACGGCGGGTTGTCCGACCTTTTATACAGCAAAGCCCGGTCAAGAGCGACTTGACATGGCAGCAGACCATCAATTGCAGCAGATATTTGAGCCCCTCTAGCACCTGCATCAGTGGCCTTGTTAGCTGCGACGTAGAGAATCCAATGAGGTATGCGCGAAGTTAATTGTTGGCGTGCTGCTTCTTGCAAGCGACAGTGACACGAAAAGCTCTTATTTACTGGTCCCCGTCCAGTTTGGCAACCCAATACTCTTCCTGGGTTTCTTCTTCTTGCCGGTGGATCGGTTGCACTCTGTTTGGAAATTTCACGACCCGTCTCTCGTATATCTGCCGGCGCGGTGCCTGGATGTAATCGAAGCCTTCTGACTCCCCGAGCCACGGAACTGTGTGATATTGGACGATGAGGGTGTATTGATCCTTTGTCTTTTCTTGAAATGCTTGAAGGGAAACGTCGCAATTTGCATCCACATACCGCAGAACGTAGTCAAGTTCCAGATGCACCCCTCCTCAAGACAAAGCAATAGGTCTAAACACATTTCCGCAAAAAAAAAACCTCCGATGAATGTAATGTGATGAAAGGCCATACGATGGTTAGAACGTTCATTTCACCCACATACATTGCGATGTTGGCTTTGTCATCTAAGGCGCCATATCACTCGAACGCGTAACCTGCCGAGAAACTCTTTGGTAGTAGTCGCAGGTATGTCCGTGTCTTCGTGGTTGGCGTGCACCACCTCGAATTTACTGTGTAATACTATGTGGGCCAGCCAAGGCGACATGGTAGCCCAGGACACAGGTGCCGAGCGCAATCGCTCCTAATGCCAAAAGGAAGGGATATCACCAGCGACTGGGGGGACCATACCTCCTAGATACCCTTGCCCGATCTCGCAAAGTCCTTGAGGGTTAGTTCCAGAGACAGGACGTTAAGAACAGGTAACTGGACGTGGTAATTCGTATTTTGAAAGCGAAATTTGGGCTTAGTTCTGAACATGCATCACCAGTAAGTACTAGCTGGAAAGTGCATGACTTTCTTAGCAGGAACGGCACTCTGGTGGCCAGACTGACAGGTAACGCATAAGGTTATCACTGACAATCGCAGTCCCGCCAGTAAGGGGTTGGAGATGTAGTGTTTGCAGATGTGAGACCATCAGATGATATCATAATTTAACTGCCATAAGCTCATGTGTTACATTCGAGGTTGCCAAAGGTTTCGAAGCGATTGAAGGCATCTATCTGGATTAAGCCACCTAGTCTCAAACCACAACAGGTTCTTTTATAATAGCATCGAAAGCTTGGTCCATGTGACTCTGAAAATTAATCCACCGACAAAATTTCTCAAAATGTTGATATTGAAGCAAATGAAAGTAGTTGCAACGCCTGCGGGTGATAAATTGCCCAATCTCACAATCTCTGAGTTCATCTTTCCCACCATTCTGTTGTAGCATGGATTATTTTGGGTGGGAAAAATCAGTGAGACGATCATCGTCGACATGTCGTCTAGACACGTATTTGGGCTCGACGCTGCCTTCATCACAGGCAAGCTCTTGCCCAAGCGCGCCTCCGTTGCCGGCCTCATTTGGCATTATGTGGCCGCTGGAAGTTCTCTCTCGGTATCCAGAAAGATAAATTCCTAAAACCTCCGCGTAATTATCGAAACCGAGTGACTTCATTGCGGATAGAATATCTTCTGCATTCACAGCTTTTCGTTTCTCGGCCACGGTCTTTTCGCAAGCTGGTCGCCAAGAGTCGTTTAGTAAGCTTGTTATCGAGAATAAATGGTATCATTTAGCTGGCATGGTAATCACTGCCAGCTCGCGAGCAGGTTCCCAATCGACTCACCCTCAGAAGTAATGAATGAAATGAATTCGCTAGTGCATCTCTGGACACACACCTTGGCCTCGTTGGAAAATTTCGCATTGTCCGGTAGGGCCTTCTTCATAATTCTACCGACTAAAGCAAAAGCACAAATATTAGCATCGACTGAAGCTTTCTGTTTGTCTGTTTTAACACAATAGCTTTGCTCTATTTGTAGCAAGAGTGCGTTCATGAGACATGAGAGACTATGATTGCGCTTGTTAAGGACGACCAATACTCACTATTTTGTAAAGGCAAATATAAATCCTGCTCTTGCAGCTCTTTATCGTTGCTAGCTGAGCGGCTGTCCGTTTGTAACTGTGGATTATTCTTCATCCTCTCTGTCTCTGGTGACTACATTCGTTGCTTGACATTAAGCTATGTAAGTTGGAGGTGCAGTCTATTTATCTTAATCGACGCCTGCCAGAATATAGGAGGCAGGGAAACGGCTTTCGTCTCTTTTATCCCTGATAGCCGCACGGAACTACTCGAGGAGTGTGTGGCGTAAGGCAAGGTTCAGTATAAGACCTTGGGCTTGTCAGGTATGGAGCAGGCTAGCAACCTGTGATGCATTTATATCAAGCGGTGTGACCAACAGAAGGCACCTTCGCATCTTCCCTAGCTACAGGTTCAACCCATGCGACCGGAACACGCCTCGTGTGTTAGTTCTTCCCCATGCAGTGACATGATGCCCGGGGATATAGTTGTTATATACACCGCCATTTCGTTATAAGACAGTGCTTAATCAAAAAGCCGGTCTGTCGACATCCGATCGAGTCGTCAACATCCTTCGAGACTTCCCGAAGCGCCCCAGTCATCTTCCCCGAGAAAATGGCTAAATCCTGGGATGAACATAAAGACATCATATTGGAGTGTTACGCTCGTCATAATCTTTTAGACACTGTCAGGTACATGAAAGAGAGATACAACTTCCATGCTGTGTAAGAAACAATCCATTTTATTCAACGGCAACTCAGCGCTATCACATTCTGATACAATATGATAGACCACGATCTTACCACAAGAAATTCGTCGAGTGGAAAATTTGCAAGCACGAGAACAGAACAAAACAAGGCTATCGAGATATTACAGCATATTCGCGACTATCCACGGAGGTCACTCAGGGTAGACCAAGCGAGGCCTTGTCAAACCTTACATCCGACGAATGCTCAACGAGCCATACGACGTCGAGATGCTCATCGCCACCCACGAAGTCAGAGGCGGCGCAAATGGAAGGGACGGGACGACACAGCCTGACGTGCCCCGATATCGAGTGGAGTGCAGAAGAAATCATTAGGCAGCTGAATAACTCTCAGAAACTCCTAGAAGAATGCCTTGCAAAGATGGTTGCCTACATCGCAGAACGCAGAGCTTTTGCAAGTACCAGCACCCCTTTTTGACAAAGTAGAGGAATACCACGACGTGAATGATGCTCGAGGTAACATACTGGTTTCTTTTGTCTGCTATAGGAATATCCTGTCAACCAATTATTGCAACATACAGGAACCAAATGTGTGCCTTCTTCTCGGTGAAGTCACACCCGAGCTGGCCATGGCGGAAATCTAGTCTGATAGAACCATTTGTCGGCCGTCTTCGCGCTTGTGGCAAATAGATTTTGCAGCTGGTTTCGACAGGACCTTATCTTTCTTGTCTAATAAGTAGCGGTGGCGTTTTGATAATATAGTCCTGTTCATTTTCATCTTTGCAGCAATCTTGTCCCAGGACATCCCTTGGACTCTTAGTTGAATGAGCATGCTGTCCTTGTCGGAGTTGAAGGAAGATCTAGACGACCTTGCTTTCGAACAATTGGATCTCAATGTCTTCAATTTGCAACTAGGGAAGTAACTGTGGATAGTTGTCCACGATTGGCCTTCCTCACGAAGCCGCAGAAGGAGGTCATCGGACTTTGTTGTGTGGAAGACTGGCCTTGGGGCTTTCCTCTGTGACTGAGAAGGATCCGCTATCGCTTCGTAGGCATTAGACTCAGTCAAGACACTTTCTACAGTGTCACGGTGTTTGAGGGTGGATTCGGTATAGTCGGCATAATTCTCATTCTGTCCCCAAGCTTCTGACCCAAAGGAGGCATACTGTGTACACTCCCATATTTTGTTCTCACATTCACTGCAGATATGAGCAACAAAGAATTCATCCTGGTGACAGACTATTAAGTGACTCTATCATGAAGTCAGAAAGCAGGTTTCCAAGATTCAGGTGTAGGTCAGCCTCCCACCTTGTAAAACGCCAAAGTCAAGCACTCGCCGCATTGAGGACAAGGGATTCCAAATACTTCGGAATAAAAGTTGTACTCAGCAACGGCGCAGACAGAGCAATCTGTATTCTGTTAGTCAATAGCTGGCTTTGGGACGAAATACTTACAAGGCCGTTCTGTTTCAACTTTGCGATCTGCTTCCATGGTGTTCGTGAGGAAGCCTTCCCGTAAAGAAATCTTCGTGTGAAGAAGTCTTCGTGTAAAGAAGGCCTAGACAAATTACGAGATGGTCGCAAAGGGTGGGCTTCTATGAAGTGATTATTATTGAATGCTGAGTGCATGTACCGTTTCCGTGACGTTC